CTCTTCATGGTTATCACACTTCAGTACATACATCAACTGGAGCAACCCCATTCTCTCTAGTATATGGTATGGAGGTTGTCTTACCTGTTGAAGTCCAGATTCCTTCCCTAAGGATTATGAAATATGCAGTCTTAGATGAAGACGAATGGACTTAGACTCGATTGGACCAAATAAATTTGATCGATGAAAAAAGGCTTGCGGCTGTTTGTCATGGTCAGATGTATCAGAAACGCATGATCAAAGCCTTTAACAGGAAAGTCAAACATCAGGTTACCAGGCTAATGATTTGGTAATAAAGCATATTATCCTATCACAAGGTGATCCCAGGGGCAAACGGACTCCCATACGAAGGTCCATTTCTGATAAAAAATATATTTTCTTGTGGTGCTATGATACTTACTACCATGGACAATGAATATTTTCCACACCCTGTAAACGCGGACATAGTAAAAAAATACTACGCATAAAAGAGACCAACTAGGTTGACAAGCCAAGGCAAAAGTAAGGGCATTCCGGCGAACGAAAAGGGTTTGGGGAAAAATTATGGATATATATATAATAAAATTGTACATCTGGCAAGTCGAAAACCTGAAAAGGCGGCTTAGGAAAAAAGGATATCCCGATGGACTAAAAACCCGAAAGGATGGTCTAGGAAAAAGTTGGGGATTAAAGCGTACGACTATGTCCCATTGGATCACCCATCTACTTACAGCCAGCTTAATTACTAGTGTCAAGTTCAAACGGTACAAAACAATTCAATCATCTTCTTCCAACAACAAGTGATGAGATGCTTGAAGGCATAGGGGAAATAGCAGAGTTGAAACTTGATGGGATCGTTTCCACATAGTTGTTTTTCCTTGTTTTTCTTTGTACCCTTTCTTCATTCTTACGACGATTTCCTCTTACTAGGATTTTTGTCTCTTTGTATAAAACTTCCTGCTTATAGGAATACTTTCATAATCAATGCAATTAGATTTCAAAATTCAAAATTGTTTTACTTTCTCTGTTTTGTTTGCAAAAACTTCCAATGATTACATTGAATGAACATATGCATTTGAACATGATTACTGTTAACAAAATATATGCATAAAAACAGGATTAGCATTCACTAAAGACTCTAGGAGTTTGGATAATGTTCAAGTCATCCACAAATATCCCCAGAGCAATCTCCACGGAACTATCTCTATAGAGCTATCTTCACAAGCTCATCCCCAACAAAGATATATTCCCCAGAAAATCTAATATTCCATCAGACATAAATTGAGGCATCTTCCAGCGGTTCACCTTTATATCCATGATGGATAGCTCAACATGATCATCTTCCCTATTAGGCCCCCTAGCGGATAAGGAAGTTTGATCATTTCTCCAACATACGGTGGAAACTTCCTCAGCGCATCATATAAAATCCTGACCCCCATCAGAGATTATTTCCTCAACACAGTCTACATGGTTTATTTCCCCAACAAAGTTTATTTCTCCAATATTGCATTTCCCTGACAGGATTCTCTTCTCTAGCCAGATGTCATTCAACTTTTTCCTCCCCAGAAGAGTTGACATCCATATATAAAACTTGGTCAGACACCACATCCGAGGATTATCCATCTTTTTTTGTCCCCAGTCAGGATACATAAGAATCAAATCTTTCAAAAGAACGATGAACGACCAATTTTACTGGAATTCTTCTATCCCCAAGCAGAAGTTGAACGTCCCCAACGGAGTGTCCTCAATTATAAAGTGGTAATCCTTAGCAAAAATGTTCTAAACAAAATTGAGAAACTAATGTCTTCATCCCTAGCAGCAGTCAGGGATTTATGTTCCCCAGCCAAAGATGTTATATAAAGCTACCGATACGTTCCAACGACATATTGCATCCATACATCATTTACAGAATATCGTAGCATATGCATACAAAACGCATATAGTATTCTCATTTATTTTGAGCGTATCATTATGCAATGCATTTCATGCATCATGACATTGCATAAAACTAACTTTGTTTTTCAGGTTAGTTCACAAACAGATAAATATTGTCAACATTTTATCATCCTTCAAATACAATCTGTCAATGATTCATTCTAATACTCCTTTGGATATTGTCAAGAGTAGACTCATTCTAGTACATCTTCTAGATACAGTTCAGATACGATTGAGATATAGATTCATTCTGATACTCATTCCAGCATATCTTCTAGATACAGTTCAGATACGATCAAGATATAGATTTATTCTGATATTCATTCCAATACATATTTTAGATACAGTCGGGCGTAGACTCATTTTAATACGGATCTCAGATACAGTCGGACGAAGACTCATTCTGATCCTCTTATAGATACAATCAAGACATATACTCATTCTAGAACATCATTCATATACAATCAAGACATAAGATTCATTCTTACACTCCCTAGCACATATGCTAGATACAGTCAGACACAGACTCATTCTAGTATACTTATCAGATACCGTTGAATATAGACTCATTTTGATACTCCTATGAATAGTCACTTTGGATGGCATCTATAAGCCCATCTCTGGCGACACTCTGTCAACTCTTCGAATGGCATCTTTAAGTCCATTCAAGCAATGCAATCAACCAACAGTGTTACTTTGTACACCGGTGAGTGCAAATTCTTGGGAACTTAAGTGTTCAATCCTCTTCCACCTTCAGATCATGAATCGCGTACATGACAATCTAACTCCTCAGGTTTAACAAGATTGAACAGGGGCAACTGTTGTACCCCAAAATTTTCCCGCCCCATTTTTTAAAATATATAATAATTTACTTTATATTATTTGTATTTTTAAAATAGCAAAATATTTTTCCACTTTCATATGCTTCTATATGCCTTTTCATCTCGAATATAATGACATAACACAGTTGGTAAGAGAGTGAGGCTTGCAAGTAAGTGGAAGGTCCTGAGTTCAAGTCTCGTTACACTAATTTTTGGTATTTATTTTCTTTTGTGCATTTTTTTAATAAAAAGGATAAAAAAATGTCATTTTCAATTATTTTATTATTATTTTCGTTTTCTATTCTAAGGGTTTTTTTAATTTTTTTAAATCTTTGATTTTATACACTTAATAGTCAAGTTGTTAAAAATAATTGAAATCTTTCAAAATCAATTTTTATTAATCACCAAATCAATCATAATATTGAGAAAAAATCACAAGTTTCTAGGTTCATAGTTTTGTCCTCCAAATTTCAATCAAATCACAATTAGTATAAATCTTCCCAAAGAAAATCACTTTTTTATTATTAAATTATTATTTTTCATATTTTTTAATTAATAAATTTTCAAAAAAAATAGTTTTTTCACTTTTTTCAATTTTTAATTAAAAATAACCAAAAAATCATATAAAATATTAAAAAAAAACAAAATCACATGATTTGTCACTTTCTGATTGATCACATGTTGACAAAACTGATTTCTCATTGGTTAGAGTTTGTATACTTGCTGACCAAGATAAAATCATAAACTTTGGCCTTTTCTTGATATGGACTATTTCCTTTTTGGGGTTTCTTTAACCTAATTTCAAATCTATAAATATACCACTCTTTAACACTATTTGTCATCTACAATTTCATAATCATCCACAACTCACTAGAGTTCTCCTAAAGTTGTTGTTCTTCACATTGAAGAACACCAACAAATAATCTCTAAGCCTTCAAAATTTGATATTCATCCAGACAATCACATTGGAGAAAGGAAAAAAAGAGCATGAAGAACAAAGGGAGGAAGTAGCTTAACTGAGTCACTGCATTCTAGGTTGGTAAAACTGAACTTTTCATTGTATCACTGAATACTTGCATATGTTTGAATTTTTGTCTGATTATGTCAGTTCGTTGATCTAATATTTGTTGTTGGATTTATTATAATAGGTTTAAAATTTTTTTATATTATTACATAATTATCTATTAAACTTTGTTATAATTAGTGATTAATATTTTGTATAATATATTAAGCTTTTTTTCCCCAGAAATTAATTTTTAGAGATTATTTCAAACCCTTTTTCTAGTTTGTTTCAAAGCTGGAAATTCAAAAGAATTAATCTTCTCCTAACTCTATCTCCACCCCATACATCTTATTTTCTCAATTTTCTAACCCTTGTTTTTCATCCCTTTTAATTATCTTTTTTTCTCATTAAACATTAACCCTTAAACAAATTAGGCCGAGCTTTTTTAATTAACTAGAATTAAGGTTTGACTTTTAATTAATTAATTAATTAATTAGACCTTAGGTTTTAATTAAAGTTAATTAGTTTTATGGTTTTAGCCAAATATTTCTTCTTAATTAATTAGACATTAGGGTTTCTAATTAGGGTTTTGTTTTTTATTTAAATTAACTTAATTAATTAACTATTAGACTTTAATTATCATCCCTAACCCTAGATCATTTTCTAAAAATACAAAAAAAAATATTAACACATTTTTTCTAACATCTTTTCTTATTTCTTATTGTTATTTAAATTATGAGACAATTGTATAGGTTGCAACCATCGATGTAATAGTTTAGATTTATCTTTTCGCATTTTTTTCCTATTATGTAACTGCTCACAGGATGTAATAGCTTAGGTTTAATCTTCCACACTTTATATTCCGCACATTATATTTTTAACTATTAGTAATTAGGGTTTGCATGGAAAGACTAACAATTAGACATAGAAAACCTAAGTCTCAAGACTAAATCACTGAATTAACACACAACCACACTTACACCTTTAGGGTAACCTCTCTTGTTACCTTTACGAATATTAGTCACATCCCTCGAAAGTGGGGATACTTTAGCAGAAGACCCTCAATCAAATCATCATGTCCCTTTCGAATAAAGACCATAATCTCTCGATGACCCTTCGAGCTTCCTACAAAATGATCTAGTCCCTTCGAGTTGCCTACAAAATGATGATAGTCCCTTCAATACAATTGCTAAATTATCCTTACTTATTGCCTTCGATGACCATACGATGACCCTACGTATGTCCTTTCACATCCAATAGAAATGGCTACCTACCAACGGATGGTATGGATAGTACTATCTCTAAAGGAGAAGGAAATGGATAAGAAATACTTTAGTGTGTAAGAAATTCTTAATTGCTTGCTCACAACTTTTCTCAAAACTTTTTTTCACACTATACTTTCAAACAAATATTTTCAAAAAAATAACACTTTCTATACATTCTTGAGGACTGATACAAATATTATTACAAAGTTAACCTTACATTTGAGATTTCAAAATATTTTCAAACAAATCACACACACACAAAGCAATATTTTCAAAAGTAAACTAAGGAATTAAGAGCCTGTTGATAACTACGAATGAAAAGGGTGCTAACACCTTCCCTTTTCAAAACATAACCCCCGAACTCAAAATCTATCAAAGGTCTTTCCAGTTCTTTTCACATTTCCTAAATATTGGATAAAAGAAAAGTAGATGGTGACTCTAGCTATCTTCACATTTGGATAAAACCAAAAAGTCAGTTCTCCCACCGTATTACACAATCCTAGCATGTTCTTGCCCCTTTCTAAGATCTTTAATTTTCCGTTGTTTATTTTTTTCCTTTTGTTTTAAATATACTTTTACAAACAAGCTTAGAATCATAGTAACAAACGAATGGCATCAATAGCACTAAATCCTGTGGAGACGATAAAAGATACTTACTTAAGTTTTTATTTACCAGCCGCTTTACTGCAGCTGTCAACAAAATGGACCCGTTGACGGGGATTGGTGTTTTTATTGGTTGCATCGCAATTGTTGTTACATTTCTAAGCTTTGTACATTTGTTCATATTACACATATACTTATTTTGTTTCACGTTTGTCAAAGTACGGTTAGGGGCATAATTTCTGTTGGAAATCGAGGAGATGCAAAGGCGGAAGCAAAAACATTTGTCTCATCCAAAGAGAAGCAATCCACCTCAAATGTAAGGAAGCTTTACATTGTTCACTATATGGACGGGGGTACCAACAATTCTTTGTTTAGCTAGATTTTATTATGTTTAATCTTTCATTTGTATTGATTGTATGAAAGCATGAAAAGGATCAAGGCATATGTTAACCCCTATGTGCCTTAGTATTAGGATTCATCTTGGTGTTGAGCTATGAAATTATGCATGAGTAAGTAGTTCATCATGGATTCTAACTTTCTTTCTAAGCCCTTGAACCATCAACCATATAATGTGTTGGATTTTCCTTGCCTAGTTAGTATGGGAGCATTCATATCACTCTATGTAGTTGTATTCGAGTTGGGGAAAATTGATGTTTGTTTGTTTATGTAGAAAGATAAAAGTTTATAAAAAAATGAGAAAGAAAAGAAAATTCAAAAAAAAAATGAGAAAAAGAAAAAGAAAGATAAAAGAAAAGAGAAAGTAATAAGATCAACCCTCTTATTTTATCCAAGCCATATTATAACCCTTGAAGCCCTTATGATTAATGCTTTTGTGCTTTCAATACATTTTTTTTGCATGAATGCATAATTTAATCTGTTGTTAGCAAGATTGTTGTATGAGTTTCGATTCCCTCATGTTTATGATTTTTTTCATCTATCGATGAAGTTTTGCTAGGTGTGATTCATGATTGAACATGTATTGTTTTGGAATGTTTGGCATGACTTTTGTGTTTAGCGTTTTGTCATACCCCAAATTTATCGGCCCTTAGTGTTACCGTCAAATTTATTTTTGAACTTGGGTTATAAAACTCTTTTAGTTTAATTACATTAATATTTTGGTGTTTTATAAATATTCGTTCTAAATTCCAGTTAAAATTATAATAATTTATTTCAAATTATTTTTATTTTTAAATAACAAATACTTGCTCGTCTTCATGTATTTTCAATTGGCTCTTTATTTTAAATAAGTAACATATCACAGTTGGTAAAGGATGAAGCTTGCAAATATGAGGTTGCGGGTTTAAATATTTTATGGTGCACTTTTTAACATTTTTTCTATTTCTTTTTATTACTGTTATTCTTTCCTTTTTTGGAAACCGGGCTTGAGCTTTTCATATATCTTGGATAACTTAGTCTCTATGTTTTTCTAACCTAATTCAAGTCTATAAATAAGACTCTTATTTGTCCTAAAAATGCATCCACAATTCACCCACAGTTTCTCACTGTTCATATTTCTTTCTATTCTCTTCCTTTTTTTTGCAAAGCTATTTACGATTTTTTCGGCCGATGATTATATATGAGGCCCCTTTTTTATTATAATTTGTTCACACCAAACGATGAACATGATGGTGGCCCCTTTTAAATTTCTTGGTTGAATATTTTGTTTGATAATTATTTGTTTAATTTTAATTTTGTTACTAACCTTTATGGAAGCCAAATGATTCACACATAGTACATATTTTTTTACACAATTTCCACACCTTTTTTTACACCTTATATTTTAACTTTTTAACACTACTAACCTTTACTCATACTTGTAACATATGATTTTAATACTCATACTGTGTATATCAATTCTCCCAAAATCAAAAATCAAACTTTCTTTGCTTTTAGTCAATATATATTTTGTGACTCACAAGATTTTTCTAAACACCCATACTTTTCAAAACAATAACATCATTCTTCTAAAATCATTTGTTTAAAATCAAACTTTCATCAACATTTATTTTGGATCAAAATGATATAACCTGCAAATTTAAACACCAAAATTGTCATTCCATCATTCACCAACATTTTTCAAATAGGAAAAAGATTGGAAAAAAAGAGAAGAGGATTCAAAATCTGAAATAAAAATATCATCATTACAGGTTGTTTGTTTTCTTTGTTTGTTTTTACAGGAAGAATTTAAGAAAGAGGAAGTTAAAGTGGAAATATACCAACAACAACAACACCACAGTTCGCCGACATTGCCAAAGCCTTCACCGCTTCAGCCCACCGGCAACGATGGAATCGCGTACCTCCAACTCCTCCTCATCCTATCAACGCCACCACATACATCCACAAATCCTTCCCCTCCACTCCGTGACTACAGGACACACCCTTCACGCCTTCATTCTTCCAGTCACCTATTCGTTTCTCGCCCAACCACCCAACAACAGAGCCATTCCAAGCATAGATCACTAACATCCGATGTTGATGTAACCGATGAGCAGCACCACGACCTTCGTCCAGATCCGTTACCAGCCACCATACGCGAGAATCGTCGCGAGGTAACCATTATTCACCATTTTCATTGTTTGTTTTATCTAATAAATATTGAAATATTTCTTTTGTGGATTGAAAATAAGAAAGTAGAAGGTGAAAACGTACAAAGATGAACAAGAGAAAAAGAGTTTCAGTGGGTTCTTTTCTTTCCAATGTTCATATAATTGCATGTCATTTTATTTTATTTTTTCTTAATTTATTTTTGCCATGTGTCACATATTATAAGACTATGATTGAAAAGTCAAAGATAAGCTTTAGTTTTTGTGTTACACGTTACTGATAACAACATGGGTACTTATTGTTACTGCTTTCATATTTTGTTAGTATTAATTGTTTTAAGTTTAGAAAAATTAGGATTTCTTTTAGGCCTTTGGGTCAATTTTTATTTAGTGTCTCTATATAAATATAGATTTTTCTAACTCTTTGATTTTAGTTTGTTTTATTAAATAAATTAATTTTTAGTTTTATTTTTAGTAATCAAAAATATAAAAAATATCTTTTATCTTTACTTAGGTTTTATTTAATCGCGAATAATTTAATCATAACAATTAAGTAATTCACAACCAACCTATACACAAATCCAATTGTTTTTTTATCAAATTAATTCAAACATTCTATAAATCATAGGATGCCCATCTTCAAGTAATTAAATCGATCGACACATCGTCTACCAGTTTATTATTCAAAATCAAACAATTTTCACAATTAAATTAATTCGATATTAAAATCCAAATTCAGCATCCTCAAGCGACACTTGGCCAATATCAAGGCACGTGATGAGGAGACTATATTATACTCCCGCTCTATGGCTTAATATATCTAACCAACATTAAACCTTTTTCAACTAACATAACAAAAAAACTAAGATGTTTTCGAAAAAGGATTATGGAGAATTATTTTCAAATTAACTGCAAATTGCGTCTACGATCATTCACTTTTTAAACCCAGACAATGTTCAAGGATAATTCGGATGCAATTCTATGCAATCTTATAAAAAACACCAACCAAACTGCAAACTATGAATTGGGACTTTGATTCTTCATAAGAGGATACGTAGGCATACGACTAAAATTGTGGCGAGTTTCGCTAATAAAAAACTAAAACCCTATTCCCTAAATATTAATTCTAAACCTAGTATCCTTGTAAACAAGGTAGATGAGGGGTTCCTAACACCTTCTCTTCATCTAAAATCGAGTAAAAAAACCTAGAATCACTGACGTTTTAGGGTTAACCTTTATATTCCCTTCCTTAGGATAAAAATTAAGGATGGCGACTCTTATTTTAAAACCAGTTACAACACGTTTGTTTCTTGATTATGTTGGCGATGTAGTCTAGTGGTAAGCATTTTTCCTTGCGTGTACCGTTTTTTTTTTAACCATCACATTTATTTTCGTTTGTAAAAACCTGTTGATTCATGAATTCTCAGATTTTCTCTTTTATTTCCTTGAGTTGGTTAGTTCTTGTTTGAGGAAAAACAAGTTTAATGTTGGGGAGAGTTTGATGAATTCTAAATTGTTGTGAATTTGAGTGGGAATAATTAGCACTCATCAGTTTAATTCGTTTTCTTTTTGTCAATAAACCTCAACTTGTATGTAAATACGTGTATATATAATCATTTTCGTGTTCATATTGTATCTTTTGATAGTTTTCACTTCTTTTGTAGGTATTCAAGGAATTCTATTTATTCATTACCTTGAAGATCATTAAATAAGCTTTCTAATGCTTCTGATCGTGCGTCAATCGGAGTTGCGGTTCAGAATTTATGATGAAAATAAGATCTTTTTTTCCAGTACAACAGACTGCACTAAGCTCCCGTACTGCGCTAAGTGCGCTCTAAAAGTACTAGAAGCCGTGTTTTTTTGACATTTTTGACCGTGCTATGCGCCCATACCGCGCTTAGCTTAACGCACCCTGCTCTGACATCAACTTTATTTTAATGATTTTCCACACTTTTTGGGCCATTCCATCATCTTTCTTCATGGTGGCAACCTAGAGGGAGCTGAGAAAATTTTTAGAGAGAGATAAGTGCTACAAACAACATAGAAGTTGATTCTTACGGATAGGAGTCGGATCTGAGTTACCCAGTGGGGCACCTAAGTTGATTCTTCTCTCTCTTCACTTTCCTCTCATTATGGTTAGAGACCATGAGTGGTTAGTATCTCTTTTTTGTTGGTTTTAGTTGTAATAACTCATACTCATATGTATTTACTCTGATTCTATTGTATGTGAACTAATTGTTGGTTTAAGGTTTATGGTTTATGGTTTAGGGTTTAGTTTTAATTTATTCTTTTTGAGTTTGTCCAAGAGCTTGTTTTTTATTAGTGTGAGGGTGTTTTAGTGATTGTCGGATTTATATCGTTTCAACTTGCGAATGCATGGTAATGATAAGAGTTTCAAGTTGTTATATTCCAAGTTATGTTTTTTATCGCTTTCTAGTCTATAACATGATTTTTTTCAACTTAGGCTTTTTTACAAATTCCATGTCATCCATTCATTTGCTCTACTTGTTCATGATTTGAATCACTTTAGATCCACCCCCAAATGCGAGGAAGCTTTCCATTGTTCACTATATGCATGAAGTACTATCAATTCTTTGTTTAGCTAGATTTTATTATGTTTAATCTTTCATTTGTATTGATTTTATGAAAGCATGAAAATGATCAAGGCATTTTGTTTGGTTTTGAGTATAACCACCAAACCAAAAGTAACTTACCTTGTGAGTGAGTGAGCATATGTTAAACCCTTTGCGCCTTAGTATTAGGATTCATATTCGTATTGAGCTATGAACTTATGCATTATTAAGTAGTTCATCATGGATTCTAACTTTGTTTCTAAGCCCTTGAACCATCAACCATATATTGTGTTGGACTTTTCCTTGCCTAGCTAGTTTGGGAGCATTCATATCACTTTGTGTAGTTGTATTAAATTTGGAGAGAATAGATTTTTTTTTTGTTTATAAGTATTTTTCTAGAGGTTGTAAAAGAAATAATTGGAAGTTGAAAGAGAAAAATGGGAAAAAATGAGAAAGAAAGAAAAATGCAAAAAAAAAAAGAGAAAAAGAAAGAGAAAAGAAAAGAGAAAGTAATAAGATCAAGGTTGTACGAAAAAGAGCAAAGAGGAAAAGGTGAAAAGTTTTTGGTTATTTGAAAATATGGGAAGTGATTTCTCTCAAAGGCTTAGGCAACTTTGTTTCGAACCTTTTGTTTTGACCCTCTTTTGTTATCTAAGCCACATTACAACCCTTGAAGCCCTTGTGATTATTGCTTTTATGTTTTCAATACAATTTTTTTATATGAATGCATAATTTAATCTATTGTTATCAATATTATTATGTGAGTGTCAATTCCCTCATGTTTGTGAGTTTTTCATCTACCGATGTGGTTTTGCTAGGTGTGATTCGTAATTGAATATGTACCGTTTTGGAATGTTTGGCATGAATTTTGTATTTAGCATTTGTTTCGTGATTATGTTGTCGTTGTAGTCTAGTGGTAAGCATTATGCTTTGTGTGTATCATTTTTGTTTGAACCATCGCATTTGTTTTCGTTTGTAAAAACGTGTTGATTCGTGAATTCTCGAATTTTCACTTTTAATTCATTGAGTTGGTTAGTTCTGGTTTGAGAAAAAATAAGTTTAAATTTGGGGAGAGTTTGATGAGTTTTAAGTTGTTGTGAATTTGATTGGGAACAATTAACATTCATCAGCTTAATTTGTTTGCTTTTCGTCAATAAACATCAACTTGTATGTAAATACGTGTATATTGTGTATAATCATTTTCATGTACATATTGTATCTTTTTATAGTTTTTCACTTCTTTTTTAGGTATTTAAGCAGTGATATTTAGTAATTTCCTTGTAGAACATTAAATAAGCTTTCCAACACTTCAGGTCGTGTGTCAATTGGAGTTACAGTTCAAAAGTTATGATGAAAATAAGATATATTATTTTCAGTACAGCAGGCCGCATTAAGCTCTCGTACTGCGCTAAGTGTGCCCTAGGAGCACCATAAGGCGTGTTTTTTTTTACATTTTTGATCGTGCTATGCAGCCATACCGCTCTTAGCTTAGCGTGCCCTACTCTGACATCAACTTTATTTTAGTGATTTTCCACACTTTTTGGGCCATTCCATCATCTTTCTTCATGGTGGCAACCTAGAGGGAGTTGAGAAAAATTTTAGAGGGAGAGAGAAGTGCTACAAAAAAAATAGAAGCTGATTCTTGCAGATGGGAGTATGATATGAGTTACTCAGTGGGACACCTCAGTTGATTCTTCTCCCTCTTCACTTTCCCCTCGTGGTGGTTAAAGACCCTGAGTTGTTAGGATCTCTTTGTTGTATCGATGCAATCTGTTTAGGAATATGTATCGATGCTTTAGCATTTGTTGGGTCCTAAATGCTAGACATAAATTTAGGCTTAACATTCACTTTTTTATCGATTCTTAATTCTGCCATATTTCTTTGGACACGAAAGATATGGTTGAAACCTCGTTGGCGTTAGGACATGAACGCCGACGTGAGCGATAAATGATGGTATTGAGGAATAAATAGACTGTGTATAACTGAATGATAGAAGGCATATTTTTGAGTTATGAAAACCAATCCTAGCATGTTCTTGCCCCTCTCCAAGATCATAAATTTTCTGTTGTTTTTTTTCATTTTGATTTAAATATACTTTAAAAACAAGCTTAGAAACGTAGTAACAATCGAATGGCATTGATAGCGCTAAATCTTGTGGAGACGATAAAAGATACTTACTCAAGTTTTTGCTTGAGAGCCACTTTACTGCAGTTGTCATCAAAATGGCACCGTTGCCGGGGAATTGTGTTTTTATTGGTTGCATCGCAATTGTTGTTACGCTTCTATGCTTTGCAAATTTGTTCGCATTACACATATACTTGTTTTGTTTCGCGTTTGTCAAAGTACGGTTAGGTGCATAGTTTCTGTTAGAGCTTGAGGAGATGCAAAGGCGGAAGTGAAAACATTTGGCTCATCCAAAGAGAAATAAAGTGATTTTTTGTAAATATACAAATGTCAAGCTAATGACGTAAAACAAGCATGTTTTATTCACTTTCTTCTTTTTCCTTGTTAGTAGTATAGGTAGAGTGGTGTAGTGGGATA